CGAACGCAGAGAACAAAATTGCTCAGTTGCCAGCGGACCTTTCCATCCATACAAAACAAGAGAGCTGATGAAGCAGCTACTTATCTGTAATTCATGGCTTTTAATCTGGTACAAAATGCAATAGGCACAAGCTGAGAGCCTTTACTGTGTATTACTGTGGCATTTCAACAGCATGACTTGTGGAATTCCAATGACAATAGGTGATTTACAGAAACATGAGTATTATGACGCGCAAAACTCAGATGGAGGGCAGGAAGTGAAAAACAGAATGAAGAGATGGAGCAAAGCCTGTAAAAATATTTGGAAAAACTATATAAACAGAAAATGACAACATACTATGTGGGACATGATCCTTATGTTATGAGCAGGAGAGATTTTTTAACAGAAACAAAAGACTTTCCTGCTATTGAGGCATACTATCCTGTGCACAGACAATATATAACATACAGTATGTCTAAGGTGCTGTGGAGTAACCTCGCAACATTCAATGCACAGTGCCACTCAACGTTAACGTTAGGGTTGTTTATTTAACACCTCAAAGGTCTGGTGACACTCCACTAAAGGCATTGAATGATCGTCAGTAAACAGGACAGGTACAGTATGTCACTGCAGTTCACTGTGATTGCACAGCAGAGTAGCAGGTAGCTAACTAAATAAGTGGTCACTGCACACGAGATCATTAGCCCACTCCACTCCTCCCCCAGACAAAGCTTACAAGCAACTTTGGTCAGTGTTGTGTTGAAGTGTGTTCCCTCGTTGTGCTGTATTTTCCCTTAGTAACTTAACGTGAATTGAACCTTATCCTAGCCCTGACCTCTGATGGGGGCACTAAGAGAAACAGTGTTTTACAGTGGAGAAACATCTGGATGGGGGAAAACACTTCATGTCATGTTCCACCCTGACTTCCTGTTAGAGACTCTTATTTTGAAATAAACTTCCAGGTTTTCACCACCTCACTCTCTCCAGCTTCACTACTGCCCATTAGTGGCTAAATTGGAACACCTGACTGTCTCCATCCTAAATGTACTGCCTCGTACTTCTGCTGTAGTTGCACGATAGTCATCTTTCTGCTAACCTGCATTCTGTCTGCTAGAACTTCACTTCTGCACCGGCTGTATGTCTGCCTGATTCTTCAGTTACACCAGTCAGCTCTTTCCAGCCTTCATCAATCACAAGACCTGCATCTTGTCTGTCTGAATCTTATCACCAAACCTGTTATCTGCCTGCTTGACTCTCCACTTGAAGTACGGAGTGCTGTCCCACCATCTCCTGATTCTGTGTGTTTCTGAGACCTTTTCTCATACCTTAATTCTGCCCTTTTGATTTCCTGTTTGCCTAGAACTTGGCCCCTGCTGCTTTGTATTGCTGACTAGTTGTCCCCAGTTTCTGTTACTTATTATCTGCACTGTACCCCATCTGTTTACCCTCTGCCTGCCTAGAACTTGCCATCCAGTGGTTCAGCCTTACCACTGCCTGAACCTGTTCTCTGTGCCTGCTCCCTGACTCCTGCCTTGCCTGTTTTGGGGATCTCCACCTGCCCAGCTTTGTCACCTGTGGAATTTTTGTGGTCTGCCTTCTTTCTGTGCCATCATCTATTTCACCTGCAGAAAATAATGTTCTGCCTGTCATGTATTTGTGTCAGTCCAACCTTGTCTCATCTCAGAGCTGGGCCTGGTCAGTACTTGCATAGGAGACTGCTTGGAGAGGAGCTGATTCCTACAGTGTCTCAGAACACTCATTATCATGTATTAACAGCATGTTTGACATTTCCTGTTGTTGGCTTAAGGTAAAAACATCATATTAGAGGGCTGTAATTAATTATGGGACCTTTCTGTGTGGAGTTTGCATGTTCTCCCCGTGCTTGCGTGGGTTCTCTCCGGGTACTCCGGCTTCCTCCCACAGTCCAAAGACATGCAGCTTAGGTTGATTGGTGTCTCTAAAATTGCCCATAGGAGTGCATGTGCCTGTGTGTGGTTGTTTGTCTATGTGTTAGCCCTGCGATGGATTGGCGACCTGTCCAGAGTGTACCCCGCCTTCGCCCGATTGCCGGCCGGGATTGGCTCCGCCCCCCCCCCAGTGATCCCGCAAGGGACTAAACGGTAGAAAATAAATGAATGAATGAATTATTAATTTGTCTGTCATTTTTTCTACTGATTGATAGAGTAGTCTATATAATGTCAAAATTGAGAAAACTTTTCCAGAACCCAAGATGATGTCTTCAGATATTTAACCAATAGAAAAAAAATGAAGATATTCAGAAGGAATTTGCATTTGTAAATTTGGAATTAATGTTTTTGCCAAATTTTGCTTGATAAAGTGTAAATGTTTAACATTTAAAATTGTTGGTGATACATTTTGTCTGCTAATCATTTAATCAACTAATGATTTTTAAAGCATCCAATCTCAGCTCAAGTCTGCAGCTGTCACAAGATTGTACACTTCTATCAATTAACAAATCACTGATGATACAGCTGACAAAGATTTGTTTGATACATGAACCAGCATAAATACAGCACCTATAAAAACTATTCACCCCCTTGGATGTTTTACCCTTTTAGATTTTATAAATCAAACATGTTCAATATAATTTGGCTTTTTTGACAAAAACATTACAAAAAACCTCTTTAATGTCAAAGTGAAAACAGGTTTCTACAGAGTAATGTCAATTAAATAAAAATATGTAATGGGAAATAAGTGATTGTATAAATATTCATCAGTGACGTGCGGTGAGGTTGACAGCTGGTGAGGCACTGACTCTTTTACAGTCAGATTTACAAATACAAATGAACCGTTAACAAATTGTCTGTTAACAGACAATGCGTTATGTTTTATATCTCATATCAGCATTCTTCACACAAACGTGACCCATATTTAATTTGAGGTTAAAATTTATTCCAGTTGAGCTTATTTCTAACTAGAAATAATAAAAGTTTATGGTCTTACCTTTACTTGTACACGAAATCCATTTGTCAGCTGGTATGTATTACAAAC